AACCGGGGATTGAACTCAGGCCCTTGCCCTTGCCAGGCAAGTGCTTAACCTACTGAGCCATCTCCCTGGCCCACAGCATCACTTTTGCCATCTTCTATCAGTTAGAGTAGTTAGCATAAGAGCCCAGATTCAGTGGATAGCATAGAAACCCTAACTCTCAATGGGAGAATTATCAAAGAATTATGGACGTCTTTAAATTTATGACATATCTAACCAGTTTTATTGCATGTGTAGTTGAGATGAAATTAGTGAAGAGAGCAGGAATTTACTTTAGTCTAACAAACCTAAATTCCTAAATTCTATTCCTGGCTTTATCATTTATTAACAGTGTGATATCTCTGAGCCTCAGATTTCTCATCTCTAAAATGGTGACAATAACACATATGCCATAGTTGTTCATGGAATTGAGTGAAAAAAAATACTAGAGATAATAGGCAGTAAACACATGACTCCAATGATAATTGCTACCATTTGTGAAATCATTTACCAAACGCACAATTTCTTTGCTAGGTTTTTGTGTGCTGTCTCATTTAGTCATCTCCTCTTCCTAGGCTGGAGTATCCTAGGGTCGGAAAGGGTAGCCTGCGGTTTCCTCTGGCTTTGTCTCTGAGTGAGTTCCATTTGTCTTGGCCACCCTGGGTTTCATCATTTCTTACTTCCTATTGCTAGGAATTCCATTTTCACATAATATTTGTTTCTATTTTATTTTAGTCCCAAAGGTCCCAGGTGCTGATGTATTTTTGGCCCGTTTTGATACTACCTTTCAGCATTTGTTCTCAGGGCTGTCGGCAGTTTTTTGACAGCTACTTACACAATCTGTCAGTTCCTTCTAAACCCACAACTGCCTGCTCATCAAAGCCAGAATGTTCAGTGTCTTTGTTTCAGAGAGTGCTCTGTTGTCAGCCTTCATTTTTTGCAGGATTGTGGGTGCTCAGTAGTTGGCCTACTCGGGAACACCATGATCTGCACATTGGAGCAATTATTCAATTTGGGGCAATTACTTAGAAATGTTCTTCGAGGCAAAGATATTGCTAGACTGTGACTGAACTTTGCAATAGCAATATCCAAGTCAGCGAAGGAGCAGCTTCTTCAGGCACACGAGGTGATTTCAATCTGCTGTTCCTGGAGGAGGTGGCGACCTTTCTTTCTGCAGAAAACTGGGTTTTTATTGTCTCATGTCCTACAAGCAGGTGGATTTTTTTTTTAATGTTGAGACAAATAATAAAATTGAGTTTGGTAAAAGCTATCTATTGGCTATTTTTCTACTCTGCTCTTAAGCTTTGCTTTTATTTAAATGGAAGGAATCACCTTAATCCTTTAGGAACTAAAAAACACATGGAATCGTACCCAAAAAAGGGAATTACTCATTTATTCCTTGCGTTAGCATTCCATTACTTTAACAAATACCTGAGATAATCAACTTATAAAGAGAAGAGATTTGCTGTGGCTCAGTTTCAGAGGCTTCACCAGTGATCATGACAGGGGTGTCCGATAGAATAAAACCACTGCCCTGTGGCTAGGAAGTGAAAGAGAAAGGGGACAAGATCAGGACACCACAGTCCCCTTCAAGGGCACTTTCCAAGTTCCTTAGTGACCCCCTTCCACTAGGCCCCAACTCCTGAAGGTGCTACCAGTGCCCAAGAGTGCTACCTTGGGAAGCAGACTGCTCTCACGTGGACCTTTGGGACTTGAATGTTCCACACTACCACATCCACTTAGTCACTAGGCCTCTTCTCTAACTGAAGGTTCAGTGGTGACTTTTAGAGTTAGACTGTTAAACTCTTGAGTCTATGCCTAGGAACTTTGTGACCTCAGAAAGTCTATTTAGATTTCTATCAATCTAAATTTCTTGGGGCTGGGGAGATGGCTCAGTAGAATAAGCGCTTTTCTGGCAAGTGCAAGGGCTTGAGTTCAATCCCTGGTTCTGCAAAAAAAAAAAAAAAAAAAGTAAAAAAACAAATTTCTTTGTGTACAAAGTGGAGTTTATGGTTATGAGATGAAGTAAGGATATATTTTTAATGCAGTTAATGTAAATCTGATACATGCAAAATATTCCATGGATGCTCTTATTTACTGTTTTGCACTTGCATTACAAATGCGTAGGGATTAGACTTTCTTGTATAAATAAATGACCATAATTAAATACTGAGTTATTGAGTCCTACTGAATATACTCATTTACCCAATAATAACAACTTGCTAGAGACACATATTCCTGAAAAGGGGAAGCATCTTGGACATGTCCAGCAGTTTTTCTTTTAAGAATACCTTTCAAGCTGTGGATAACACATGCCTATAACCTCTAAGTCTGAAGAAGGAGGATTGCAAATTCAAGCCCAGCCTGGGTAACATAGTTTTGTACAGAGACCCTCTGTCAAAATTAAAAAGAAAAAAATTAGGGGCCAGGTAGATGGCTCAGTGGAATAAGCACTTCCCTGGTAAGTGCAAGGGCCTAAGTTTAAATCCCTGGTTTTGCAAAAAAAAAAAAAAAAAAAAAGAAAAAAAGAAAAAGAGAAAAAAATTAAAGAGCTGTTGAGATAGGTCATTGTGAAGATCTTAAGTTCATCACGAGTACTCAAGAAAAAAACTTAAAAATAAAATTAGAGACATTTCAGTTCAATTAGGAAGAGGTTAGTTCATGGAAGTATCTATAGAAAATAAAGTGACAGTGGAAGACTAATTAAATTGTGGCTTAAGAAAATTAAAATCACTACTATGGCTCATCAAATAAGCACCCTCTAGATACACTGCACCACCCGTTGAGTGTAAATGTCACCAAGTTAGACATCAGAATATTTAAGAAATGATCCTACCCTCCTGCTAATTGAATGTGTAACTTAGGGTTAGTAGCATATTCTGAAAAATGAGGATCCTAGTACAAGTTATGAGAATCAATAAAATTTTACTGTTGCTGTGAAAGTAAGGAGGTAGCAGGGCTTGTTGAACATACAGTATCATTTCTGGAGAGTAAAGTCAAAGGATTTGAGAAGAGGAGGAGTAGAGAACTTGCTCAGGAGAACAGTCTAGATTACTAAGATTACAGAACTAGAGACAGAGGGGCTTACAGTTTGAGCATTGACTAAAACAACAAGACCCAGAGACATACTGGATTTAGCTCTGATGGTAGGTTAATAACCATGTAGCACAGTAGTAGGTCTTTTATTTTATCCTGCAAAGTTTGGTAGGTGGGGGCTGGGGAGTCTAAGCACCTGCCTGGCAAGCATGAGGACCCGGGTTTGATCCCCGGTACCACATGCCCTGGAATCCTGGGCATGCCATATGTGCCCCTGAAACTGGGCATGGTTGTGCATGCCTGTAATCCCAATGCTAGGGAGACTGACACAGGAGGATCACCGTGAGTCCAAGCTGTGTAGTGAGACCCTGTACCAAACAAATAAATTAAAAGAAATTTCTTTTGGCAAGTGGGCATCAGCTAGTGAAAACGTAAATTTGGATTTGCTTGACTATCAGCCAATTATAAATGATTTTTGCGTAACTGTATGTTGAATAGTCTTTCTTTTCTTTAACTGGTAAATATTATGATCAGAACTAGTCTAAAATCATCATTTAATATGGTAATATGTCAATTTGTTTTTATTTCTTATTCTAATTACATTTTTTTTCTGTCTTTGGTTTTTTAAAAAATTAGCTGAATAACTCAAAGCCAAATATTTGGCTTGCTTTATATTTTATATAATCAAGTATTTTGTTTATTTATTTTTTCTACCATTGTATCATATTTTTGGTGGCTGTATGTCAAAGTTTATTTTGACAATTCATAACAGATATGTTCTGTGTATCTAATCCTAATCATCACTTCTGATTTTGGAGACAGAAAGTATGTGGTTTATTAGAAATCCTTTGCCCAATACCTTTGGTATTGTCTCCAAATGGTAAATAGCTTATATTTGTGGTCAAGATGAAGAGGGAATACTGAATAGATCCTAGACTTATAGGGTATGTCAACTCATGCTTGAAAAATCTTTCTTCTCATGTATGATAACTTTCATGGTAAGGAAATGGCAAATTGCATGGAAGCCTTATTAAACAGAAGATTCCCTATTTCTTGAATTTAATAGCTCACGATCTCTTCAGAGTCATTGGGCTAAGCCAGTGACTCACATCTCAGCTCCAGTATGGCTTCTGCAGAAGCTGTTTTGTTTATTGATTGCTAATGATATAATGTTCTGGTTTTCAGGAAAAAAAAAAAAAAAAAAAAGAAAGAAAAAGAAGTCTGGCAGAGGGCCCCTGATTACCTACCGCCTGTGGTGGTGGAAATAGTATTTGAAAGCCAGCACTAAAGCAACAAAACATGAATTCCTCTGTGATACTTAGAGCTCTTCCTGTATAGTTAATCTGTCATTAGGAAAGTAATCTCATTTTGTTTCATTTGTTCCTGATAGTTTAACTGAGACCCTGAATATCCAGAGTAGGATCAAGAATTTCAGATAATAATTTTAGACTTCAGTAGCATTTTGTTATCTTTATCCAAAAATGCTATCTTGTGCATAAATGACTTGGACAGAGGAAAATAACCAAAAATGTATAGAGGAAAAATAATTCATTGTAAAAAACAATACCTTTATATGACTATTAACAAAATACATCTAAAACTTTAGGAGCTGGGGAGATAGCTCAGTAGAATAAGTGCCTGCCTGGCAAGTGCAAGGCCCTGAGTTCAATCCCCAGTACCGCAAAAGAAAAATTAAAATAAAATAAATAAAATGAAACTTTAATAAGCACCCTAAAATATCTTTTTTTTTTTTTTTAAATCTCTTGATTTTTGTGAGTTTAAGGCCAGCCTGGGTACAAAGTGGGCTCAAGGCCAGCCTGAACTGCATAGTAAAATGCTGTCTTGGGGGGGAAAAATCTTTTGATTTAATTAGTATTGTATGTGAAAATGAAAGCAATAAGGAATTTTGTTAAAGATTTATGAAAATCTTGGGAAAATAATAAAAGTGATAGATGTGAAGATGCTGACTTTTCTGTTTTCTGTTTCAGGGATTGAATATAATCTTTCATGTGGCTTTGGCTCTCTTAAAGGTAAGACCTTTTTTTTCTTAAGAAGTTAAGCTGTGTTACCTCTTTGCCCTCAGAACTAAAATAATTCAATTTACAGCCTTTGCCTCATTTCTGAGAAGCTCTGGTGTTTTGTCTCTCATCCTTTCTTATTGTGTTTATTGGAGTTTGTTTTTCTTATAATCCATTTAGTTTTGCTACTACACCATTTCTATGAGTAACATAGCTTTCATTCATATAAGTTGGATAAGAACAAAAGTTGAAACCTATTTTCTGTCAAAATGAAGCCAAGTTTTTTTTTTTTCTTAAAATACTACTTACCAGAATAACATTCTTGGAGGCACCTAAACATATAATTAAATTATTTAAAAGGTGCTATAATACACTGACTAAAAAAGAAACTGGTGCATTTCAATTTGCAGTTCTTTTTCTGATAGCTGGAAATTTGTAAGACACTTTAGAATTTAATTATAATTAACTTGTGAGATTAAATATAAACATATCACTATAGTTTTAACAGTGTGGTAACAGTAAAGCATTTGCTATAGAGTTGGTGAAAATAACCCAGTCAAAGAAGACATTCTGTTACTGAAGGTGATAATTGCCTGGTTTATAAAAAGAACCAGGCTTACACTTCCTGGTGTAATATAATGGTTAAAATCTCAGATATTGGATGCAGATTTTGTTTTAATCTTTATTATGATATTATTAATGAATACTACTTTAGAAATCAGTGGTTCTCACTGGATGCTCCTGTATGTGCATGATCATATTCCAGTCATGTGCATCTTCCCTTCTATCTCTTTTGTCCTACCTTTTCTTCCCATGCTCCCAGATCATCTTCTTCCTGAACTGATCCTCCTTTCCTTTTGTCTTCTTTGTATGTGTGTGTGTTCATTTCCACATACAGGAGACAACATATGGTACTTACACAGAAATTCTGTGTCTGACTTATTTCTCTTAACATGATCTCTAGTTACATCAATTTTTCTGCAAATGATATAATTTCATTTTTCTTTATGACTGAATAATGCTCCATTGTATTGTGAAGAATATATATTCCTTATCCACTCTTCTATAGATGGGAGTATGGGCTGACTCCGAATGTTGTGTATTATGAGTTGTGCTGCATTAACTGTGGGGCATACGGGTATCTTTTTATATGCTTACTTCATTTGCTTTGGTTAAATACCCAGTTTGATCATATGGTAGTTCTATTTTTAGTTTTTTTGAGGAACCTCCATACTGTTTTCCATAGTGGTTATACTGATTTACATGTCTTCCAACAGTCTAGAAAGATTCTTTTCATGCCACATGTTATGGTTTGTGTCTAGTTGTACCCAAAGCCTCATGCAGTCATGGGGCGGACTTCTAACTCATGATCCACTGGGATGATGGGTGTGAGCGCTGCACCCAACCTGGGGCAGACAGCCTGAATGCCACATAAGGGAGACAGACTTGCTGTCTGTTGCCACTGTCACTGCTCTCCTCCCTGTGCTCTCTGCTTCTTGCTGCTGCTGTGACTGGAGGCTCTCTGCCCTGGGCCGCTCTGCCCTGGCACCAGCTGAGTATGGACTGACGCCTGCAGTCACTGTGAGCTAAATAAACCTTTCCTGTCCTAATTGTGAGTGTCGGATATTTGTCTCTGCAGCAAGAGAAGAGTAACTGAGACACCACATCAGCAGCAGCACTTTTTCCCCCAAGATAATAGCCATTCTGACAGAGATGAGATAGAATCTCAATATAGTTTTTATTTCATTTTGCATGATAGCTAAAGATACTGAACTTTTTACTTATTGGCCATTTATACTTCTTTGGAGAAGTGTCTGTTTAGATCATTTGCTCCTTGTTAATGGAGTTATTTGATCTTTTGCTGTTAAGATTTTTAGGTTCTTTAGATAATTAGATATTAATCTTCTGCTAGATGCATAGCTGGCAAGATTATCTCCTACTTTTCAGGCTCTCTTCACTTTTTTTTGATTGTTTCCTTTGCTGTGCAGAAGCTTTTTAATTTGATATAACTCCTTTCCTTGATTCTTGTGTGTATTTCCTGGGGTGTTGGAATCTTACTCAGAAAATTGTTACCTGTACCAGTATCTTGAAGAATTTCCTCTATGTTTTCTTCTAATAATTTCATAGTTTTATGTCTTAATTTTAAAGTTGATTTATGTACAAGAAAAAGATTTGTTACTATTTTAAGCCCTACTATGTGATCTTGGGCAAATTACCATAAGTGCTCAGAGCTGGAACTTTGAAATAACAATAAAAATTAGTGCACATGATTATAATTAAGTAAGGTTGTACATAAAATTTCCTGATTTGGCATTTAGAGTATTTTACAGCCCAATAAATGTTGGCTGTCATAATTATGATTACTGATGTCTTTCACAAATGCCTCTGAGTGTGTTTTCAGATTCCTCTTCATTCTACCCAGTCCCTTAGTTATCTTGGAAGGGCCTCTTGGTATCTTCAGAGAGCCTTGATATTTAAGCTTGAACCTTACCAAAGGTATGAAATACTGGGTCCTCTGAAACTTAAAATGTGGATAACTAATGTTCATCACTGTTAAACATTTGCTTTCTGTGAAATTAATAAAATGTACTTTATTGAGTAAATCACTTTGAGATTAAATAGGAACAATTCCTATGCCATAGTTATTATAAGTTATAAAAATATTTAAGGTGTTTTAATAAAGTATATCTTTTAATGAAATAATGGATCTTGACTTAATTTTTTTCTTAAAACTAATCAAAATCAAAAACTAGTCAGGCACAGTGCCACTTGCCTATAATTTTAGTTATTTCTAGAAGGTGAGGCTGGATGGTTGCAAATTCAAGGCCATTCTGAAACAACTGAGACTCTGTGTAAAGAAAAACTGAAAGGCTGAGATGTAGCTCAGTGATAGAGTGCTTCTGGGTTTAATATCTAGATCTACAAAATAATCGCAAAACCCAAAACAAGAAAAGTAATTTTTAATATGCCATTTTAATAGGGCTGTTAAGATTTTTAGACTGTCTAAGCAGCAAATGTACTATGTAATTCAGATTACAGAAAACACTAAGTTATAAATATGTATGAGGAAATCCAAAAATTTCTGATTTCCCTTATCATGTCTAATTTGCTTTTTAACTCTCACGTATTACATCTGTCCCAAAAAGCCATCCTCAAGTTTTGGATAATCTCTGCACTGGTGTAGATGTTGGTTGTCTTCTTGACTGACATGTTGACTTGTTTTCTTTTGTTTTGGGCTATGTTAAGCCACAAATAGCTTGAGCAGAGGACATTCTTTGGCCACTGGGCAGGAAGGCATTTATGTCTTCTTTAACAACATTCCAGTCTTTAGACATTATCTTGGAGACTTGGACTGGTTAGAGAACACAAAAATGAAGCTTTCTTATCACTATATTGACCTATATTTGTATACTTACCTTTTGTAAATTCTAAAACTCCACGCACAGATAATATAGAAAGAGCTCAATTGAAGTTTTTAATTTATTGATCTGATTGCTCCACTTGGCAGAAAGAATACCTGAACATAAATGACTGTGACTAGGTTGCAGTTTCTAATCTACTATGGCAGATAAAACAGTGCATGCATATTAAAAAAAAAACAAAAGAAAACCTTGGGCATGCTTCAAGTACTTCTGAACCTAGCTTTAATAATTTTTCAAGAGGAGTAAATTTTAGATTTCTCTAAATTAAAAGTATTTCTTGTGATGAGGGGGTCTCAGAGAACTAACCTTTCTTGAATGTATGTTTCACTAAATGCATGGGCCCTACCTTGTTGATACTAAGCAGATGAAAACACAAGATTGCCTGAAGTCTTTTGTCCAGATTTATAATTTTTCAAAATGGTACAGGCATGAGATGAATGTCTCTGATGCTCAGTTTGGTTTAATGACACCTATCTAAATGAGACCTACTTCTGGGTGAAATAGCTTATAAGGCAGCTAGAATTCCTTTAAGCTAAAATAGTGATTCACCATAGTAGTTAGCATCATGAAATGATTTAATATCCGTTGTGCTGCGTGGATCTCCCCAGTCTAATCCATTTATTACCTCAAGTGTTCCAGTGTCTTCCCACAGTACATTCAGTAGATTAAAAATGAGCAGTCAAGAGTGAGGCCAGCGGTGCTGAGGAGTGGGGAGGGCTTGTCGTGTGGGAATACGGCCTTAAAGATTAGCCACAAAGGCTGAAAATGGTGACAATGAAAAAAATGGCTGCTCTAGAGGTCAGAATTTGTCATCAAATTGAGTATTATTTTGCGGACTTCAATTAGCCACTGGACAAATTTTTAAAGGAACAGATTAAATTAAAAATGTTCTTTACCAGGAATATGAAAGTGTGTTTTTCCTATACTCTTGAAAAGAATTTCTAATACATGCTTTTATATGGAAATGGAAATTACATCATAAAAGAAAGGGTCTGAACAAGTAATTATGGTAGTAATTTGCTTCATTGTAAGTAAACAAAACTTTTCGAAGAGTCTGTTAGTCCTTTGTATAGGAACGCTCACTTTTGTTAGGAATGACAATTGATCTTGGCTAAATTTTAAAAGAATGGGCCTCTTGTTAGTTTGGAAGGGCTTAGAATATTATGTGAAAGTGTTGAAGTACACTTTAGATGGTGTTTGGTTTTTCAGCCCTCTGCTCTATGTATTCCTTACGATTCCATAAAGCTTTTTGGATAAAGTCATCAGTAGAATCTAATGGGCATCTGTTTTTAATCTGTTTTGATGCCTGAACAGTTGACAAATGGTATAATGATGACACAGATTTTTTTCATTTTTTGAAAACATCTCCCCTTGGCGCTTCCTTCTTCTGTCTTATCTTTTATCTCCTTCTATTCAGCTTCTCATTTTTGTTTGGTCACTCCTGTGTTTTGTTTGTTTGTTTGTTTGCTTTTTTCCTTAGCCATTAATTTGGATTTCCCAGAGGCCCAGACCCTAGGAACTTGCTTAATATGTCTTTCATGCTAATTCTCTTCATTCCCCTGATTTTGTCAGTAAATGTTTACTCTCATA